AAAAAAAAAAAAAAAAAAAATGGCCGATAGCACTGGAGATTTAAAATTTTTGGAAACTGAATTTAGGGGCAAAGAAACCATAACACAGTACATGCCAAATTCAATTTTCCTCTGTGCCTCTACTCTAGCAGAGCATTGTGTTTCAGCACCACGTGCTAAGGCACATTAGCTTCGCTCTATCCAGGCAAACGGCGCCACTCAATTCCAACAGGGAGCAGCAAGCAATCCTTGTGGGTGTGGTGTCTCTTTTTCTGAAAAGACGAAGGAGTGCAAGTGTGCGCATGTGCTTATTACCCACCGAGTGGCGGGGCTCCTTTTGAGAAGCACGGTTCACTTTTTGTACAGGACTTTCCAGATTGGTCAACTGCAACCCCATCCAACCCCTCTTCCTTCCTGCCCACTGATCCCCCTGCCCATCTCCATAGTCTACCGCCTGGTCTGAAAAGGTGTGTTTAAAAGAACAATTCACTGTCTTGAAAGTGTTCCAGTGAGATGCTAATAACTGGCAAGGCTGGTCAGGAGAGAGGGGGCTCCTCCAAACTGTGAGGCCACTTATCTTCTTTTTTTGGGGTACCAGGGATCGAACTCAGGACCTTACACTTGAGAGGAAGGAGTTGAGCCAGCTAAATCCCTGGCCCCATCAAGCATCTTTTAAGAGTGTCTTTAGATGTGCTGTATGGCTGCCTTAATGTCCTGAGTCAAATCAAAATGTCTATCAATCAGGGTCATTTTGACTTGGGGAAGAGCCCATGAATAAGATGGATAAAGACGCCCCACAATATTTTTACAAGTCTGCCTTTCTGCTGATGGCAGCAGCATTCATCATATTTTTGATCATATTGCATAAAGACACAACGGAAAGAAAACTCCCAGAACTGCTTCAGAAAGTGGCAATAATGGGTGAAGGGAGGGCAGGGACAAGGGGATAAAATGAGAACCAAGACCACCTGTCATGTAGAGGTACAAGATCCCAATGATGAGTGTAACTGTACTGTACACCTAAAATGTGCCAATAAACTCAATGAGGAAAAAAAAGCGGCAATAATAATGAACTAAATGAGCACGAGGTGAGGAGTACTCTGAGGGCCATTAATGGCAATGTGCTTTTCACTGTAATAAACTTTTATGTAAATACACACCCAGTCCTGGTCAACACCAATCCCTGCACACCTCTGTTAACCCTCAACGCTTCTGACCCTTTCTTAACTTCTCTGGCAAAAACACTAACTCTGGTTAAAGCCAACACGTCTACTGCTCACCAGCACAAGGGCAGATGAAGCTGGAGAAAAACACACAAAAGACTGGTTATTTTTAAATCTGTCACCACTGACATCAAAGGGGTCCAGTGGAGCACTGCATCCTGGTCTAGTCACTCCCACTCTATTAGCTGACCTCCCCTCTAACCTGAACACTGCCTGCCTGTCCCTCTGAGGACTCCAGTGCGATGCCTAAGCTCCAGCATGCGGCCTCCAGGCCTGCATCCATGCACCCTTGGCAGCTTCCCGCACAGGACTATGAACCGCCCAGCCGCTCCCGCAAGGCCACTCAGGGACTCAGGGCACACTCTCCACTGTACCTGCCATCAGCAAGCAGACTCACAGCCCTCAGCACTCCAGCAACCACCAGCACCGTGCCCACCCCGACGCCAGCCAGCTCTGGTGTCCCACGTGTTCTCAGGAGCAGCACCTGCCCACACTTCCCCAGGGCTCCGGGACTCACCATCTCTGGTCCCTCCCACCTCGCTTACCTTTCAGTGCCAGAGCGCTCCAGAGACTGGCTCCGCGGGTCTCCTTCTCTCTGGAACCTTCGTTTTGTCTAGACCTCGCTCCTGAACTCCACCCTAAACCCTAACACACTGCTCCTGCCACCTTCCCTGTGATCAGCACCTGCCCGTGGCCCACACTTCGTGTCCATCTTCTCTGCAATGACTTTCACTTCTCTCCCTCTGCATCTGACCTGTCTCCACCCGCTCACCTGGGACGTAGCAAAGCCTCCTAACTGGTACCCACACGCTACAGTCCCCCGTTCAGATGCTGACGGACATGTGGGATGACACTTGACTATTTCAAGCAACGTGGCTGTGAGCTCATGGAAGGTCTCTGTGTAAACATAGCTAGTAGCATTAATCTACTGCCCAAAATCTCTGGATTTTTGAGATAGGGTCTCAGTATGTAGTGCAGGCTGGCCTCAACTCTCAGCAATCCTCCTGCCTCAGCCTCTTGAGTCCTGGAACTACAGGTGTGTGCCACCCTGCTCTGTTCACAATCATTTAATAGTATCTCATCTCTAAATAAAAGTCAAGTGGTCCTACAATGGTTTGTCAGGCTTGGCGCAGGACACCAGGTTGGAACCGCGGTGAGCAGGCTTTTTAGATAATGGTTTGGTTGAATTCGGCTACTGATTAAGTTAAAATCATGAATTAATGCAAGGCCTAAGTGTAAATCGCTAAGTGACCCTTCAGCTGGTGTTAGAGACAGACTTCCCTGTGCCATCGGTCATAACTGAGGGCTTAGTGATCAATGAGGCTGTGACGTATCTACAGCAAGGAGACGCTGCCACTGAGGACTTAGGACTCTGCAGCTGTTCACTACCATCAAACGTTAGCCGGGATAACACAGGTGGCTCAGTAGCCATGTCCCGCAAGATAGCGCAGGTGACTTGTGAACTGCGGCCTGGCTCTCATTAGTGCATTAGTTATGCTGTCCCTACCTCTGCCTCACGCCCCCTTGCTATGCTGCGCAATGATAAATACGGACTAATCCAGAGCTCATGGTCTTAGCCAGGAGAGAGCTAAAGATCACCTCCCAGCCCCCCAAGTAATAAACTATCATTCATTACTCCCCACTCCTTGTTCTTTGTATACTATTCTTTCATCCCATGCTGTCCCCTCATCGGCATCCCCCCGTAACTGGTCAGCCTATGAACCTGACCGTCCAGGTCACCCCAAGCCCTGACTCACCCCCGACCACTCACACCTTTGAATACAGAGCTCCACAGCACTCATCGTTTTGCTCTTTTTCCAGCAAACCAAGTGTGATCCTTCCTGCGGTCCTCCGCCTGCCCCTCTTTCCCCAGATGGCTAAGTGACCTGCCTCCCCACATCTTAAGATGTCTGCTTAAATGAGAGTACTGCACTGCATTTCCCTGACCACATTTAACATTATCAACTATATTTTTAAGTTTCTAAGGCTAAATTGCTGAAATAACCCAGAACTTTTCCCTTAAAATCTTGTCTTAAAAAAAGAAAATACATCAACTGCTAATTAAAACCCAGAAATATTTCCACTTGCCAAACCCTGAAAGAATGGCAACTGCAAGAACATGGAGCAAACAGAACTCTCAAAAATTGCTGGCACAGTACAAACTGATTCCACCACTCCGGAAGCTATTTTGGCATTATCTACGAAAACTGGACACATACTTGCTACAACAACATGGCAGGGAGTACTACAGAGGAATAAAGGTGATGACTGGTATGTCTGAAACATAAAAGTCTCAGATGCAAAGATAACATATTACATATTTGATTCATATGGAATTCAAGAACAGGCAAAGATGTCTGCTGGGTGTACTGACCGGCGGCGTAATCAGGACATTTGGGGTGACTCCACATGCTGCCCTCCTGAACTGAGTGGAAGTACCCCGGTGTGCACAGGTGGAGATGATTCACTGTACTGCACATTTAAGACCTACTCCTCCCTTTACTCTTGTCACATCTCAAAAATATTTAAAATACATGCTTACTTTCGTACACATAATCATATGTATTTTACACTAAGCATTAAAGTGTCCACAAAGTTGGAAAAGACAGAGTTTTCTGTAGCCATAGTAACAAGTAGCCACCAAAAACTGATCAACAGGTTGCCTTTGCAAGCCAGTCACCCTCAGCCACGCAACTCTGAAAACCAGCCAATCAGGAAGAAACTGACTCCAGTTGCTCCTGCCAGCCAAGCAATTAGAATTCAGCTTTCTCAGAGATGTCAATCCACTAAGCCAATCCTCCACTTCCATTCTTTCCTCAAATCCTATATAAAACATTGGTCTCTTCTGCCTAGAAAACCTTCTGTCTGGCCAGCATAGTTCTCCCTTATAAGAGTAAGTATTAAATTTAGCTCTGCTTTTTGTTTGACTGGGAGTCTCATCATCCTTTCGTGCTGAAAACTTTTGTGACCATGTCTGTTTTCAAATAAAAATATTTTCATGTTGATATATACTAGATAAAAATATTCCTTCTAGATAAATTCCCACATAATCTCTTGAACTGAGTATAGTTCACTATCCAATTTTGTAAGTATCTGCTTCAATTTACTTTGGTTAAAAAAATTCAACATTTCCTTTTCCCTTTGTTTGGATCTAGCTTCAGAATTAACTGTAAATGATACTTAAATTATCTCCTCCTGGAGATATAAGAGTTAGAGCATCCTAACTCTTATGATGTTCCCTTATTTAATGTTAGTCACAGGCTCCCTCTGTGCTGCCCTGAGAAGCACAGGTGGAGAAGGCTGTCAAGAGGTCTCTGTTCAGTGTGGCAGGGTCTTCCGCACAAGGGAGTTTTGAGGCTCACATCCTCTGGGGCTAT